ATTCCTTTTTTACATTCAACTGAATTGATGAAATATAATGCACCGTGAATGTTGAGAATTTAGCATATTTTAGTTCAACTGCGTTTAGCATATTATACATAGTAGTATAATGGGAACAATAAGTAAAACACAGCGGTATTTGTATTCAATTAGGTAAGCAGATTGTGCTAATACCCAATTCCTTTCTTCTTAATGACTCAGTAGGTATTGTGATTAAGCTACTATTTCTTTCATTAAAATAAGATGTTCATGTACTTACTTGAGACTTAATGGAGTCCTATATGGCAAACATAAACTGCAGTAGAAGGATAGTTAAGGTGTAAGAATTTGTGTACCAAAGACAATATTAGTGAAAATTACTTTAAAAAATACGAAATTTATATGTATATGTATTAATCAGTATAGAGTAGCTAAATATTATATAGCTTTGGAGAATACAGGTGCCATGAAAACTTACTAAATCTTTTTCTTACCTGTTTTAGAAAGGTTGGAATTATCTATTTTACCGAAGTCTAGATGCCTGGCTGTGCTTTTCCCCTCCATTAATCTGGACCTTCTAAAATCACAACTCTATTTTGCAAGTACTGTTTTTAATCCAAAGTGTTGGCAGTATTCCATATGCAGTGGCAGCTCTTCAGAGAGCAGGTATCAACTGGCAAGGGAGATATCTTTTATCATTAAGCCCCTCCTCTCAGTAAATCAGGATAAATTGCTATTGCCATAGCAGCCTCTGCTTGCTTCTTAAGGAAGGACGGACTTACTGCACATCCCTAGTTTAGCTAGGCTTGGAGCTGTCACTGTTTCCAGCAGTGAAAGAGAAGAGAACAGGGACTTAGAGCATGTATATGTATGTTTGCACTTTCCGTTTCCTTCCTCTTCTTCGATGCCAGAATCCTTGTTACTGCTGCCCTACTACTGGACTGGTCTGTGGACCTATATTGCTCTTGCCCTATCAGAGAGTTTGGTTCACCCCACCTACCTACCTATCACTTCTCCTGCCTCACAGTTCCCATCTCATTCCAAAACCTCAGCCTGTCAGAGAACTCCCATCCTCCAACCCTGCTTACTCCAGAGCTCAGATGCTACCTACTGATTCAGCCCAGAGCCCAGGTCTGCTCGAGGTCCTCCAGTCTTCCTGTCTCAATCCTGCATCTCCAGTCTTCAGCAGCACACACCAGTCCTGGGATCTTCCTGTTTCATTCCCTGAACAAACACTTCACATATTTGACTAATTTCCCGCACTTCATAGCTTCTCCATGTGTCCAGCCTTAATCCATGCTGAAACTAGACTTTGCAGTTCACCAACAGCTACCAGAGATTGCCTGCATCCCAGACCATTCCACCTCTCAGTCTGCTATATTATGTCTTTTGATAGTTCCTGGGCAGCTCCTCATCTTCCTTTTGTAGGAGGACATCTTGTAGCACCTGACTGCACTATCTCATCGGATGCTGTCCTTCACCTTACTGCTTGAATTATTGGTTGTTTTCCTTACTTGTCTTGGCTTCTGCTGTGGCACTCTCCACCTTGGAAAAGTTAATTCCCATCTCTTACACTGGTGAAGTTTTTAATACTCCAAACAATTGAAGAACACAGTAAAAAATCCACGTGGTTTTAGAAAAGAAAAACTCTATCTGAAAAAAAGCTAGAATATCTATGGTAATCGATGATAAAATAATGATACTCTGTTAGTTATAGGGGTGTGCAAGGATGAGAGATGGTGAGCTACACAAAGTGTCTACTAAAATTAGTAGAGGGTTTTAGTATGAATCAATCAAGCGAATTGAGGTGTGTGACAGCCAGATGAGGATGAACTTGTATGGCTGAGGTTTAAAAAAGTAGTCATTAGAAATTCTGGTAAGAACAGGACAAGGAGCTGTACCAGACTTGTAGAGTTCCAAGAGAAAAAAACCTCCAGACAGTGAATAAACAGTGTGCCTAAAGAGTTCGGAGATGAAAGACAAAAAGGTGATAGGATATTCTTGCAGAAGCAAGTATAGAAGCTACTACAATACTAAAATCCAGTAGGTATGTTTGGTTTAGGAAAGGCTGGACAAGACGGAGAGATTAAGAAGAGGAAGAGAGGGATCAGAGTAGACCTAAAGAAGATCTCAAAACTGGTCAGAATGAAATTGTATGGGCAGGTGAAAAAGGGCAAAGGGCTACAGGAAACAGGTGAGAAAATCCTGCATTTATGATAATAGAGGACAAAGAGAAAAAGGTAAGAGGAGAAGACAGAGAAAGAAAGCTAGTCTAGGAAAAATATTTTCCTGAAGAAAACATGGCAAAAGTTTCACCAATCACCAATCATGAGAGTAAGCAGAGCTTCTTTTCAAGTGATAAGACATACCACTATTCTTTGCAAAAGGCATTGTCTGCAGAATACAGTATGGCACATCACATGATTAAAGTGCTTAAAGGTCTAAGAAAAACACACAGTACAAGATTCTACAGAATCATAATTCGATTTCCTAATTAAATCAGGGAAGCAAATAATATATATCAAGGGAACATGCTTCTACTGCAAATACTTCAGACAAGAAAAGCTTTCTTAGACATGAAAAGGAAAATGATATATGAAACAGTAAGTTTTTTTAGCATTTGAAATTAATTGTAATGGTCTGTAATCTTTCTCAGCATCTCTTAAAAATACTGTTATTAGTAAGTGTTTAATTCTGTTTTTTTACATTGGACTTCAGTGTGTATCATTAGAAAATAAAATACAGTAAAAACGTTGCATAAGTAACTGAGATTTTTCTTTATGTAGGCACGATGAAAAAAAGTTAAGGATGTAGGAGCTTATTTTGTAATAAATAGTGCCTCATTGTAATAAATACAATGCCTCAGTGAGGCATTGTAACTCAGCATTTGACAAATTTTAGTTTAATAAACTGCTTGGTAGTTGATCAGTCTTTCTGATGTTACCTTAATAGTAAAAATTACCACTGTAACAACTATATTGTTCTTAAACATGTAACGTATTATCTGTTGGTACAAAGCCCTTTTGAAATCCCATCTGAGATGTTAGAAGTTGTTCTTGCTGGGAGTCAAGCACTGAAAAATATGTCTATGCCTTTCCACCATCATTCACCCACTCCTATTTAGATCATTCATCACTGCAAGTAAATTGCCTTTGAAAAATCAGGAACCATTAAAACCAAGTATAAACTAAAAAAATCGGAATGGGGAAGAGTGTTGTATTTGAGTAAGACTTTTGAGGATACAACAGTAAAATCAATCTTGCTGTGACAAACTTGTAATATTACATTTGTGAAATGACAAGAACATTGCCATGAGAAACAATCAAAGCTCAAATACTCTAGGGAATGTTTTGTTATCTGTGTTGTGATGACTAGATTTGGTGTACATATCTGACTAGGAAATGAATAGTGATTACATCGTAAGTATGGCTGTAAGCTCTATTCTCTTTTGCAATATGATTATTTTTTTTTTTTTTTATGTTACCACTTACAGTTTGTGGCCTTGTTGTGGTATAATGTAGAAAAAGTCTACTGTAAGAAAATAAAATGATTCTTCATCTTTGTGCATCAAGGACTTGAGCATAGAGTGTAAATGACTTGTCCATAATGTCACTGGAGTTCTCTTGCAGAATTTGAAATTGATTTTAAGGCTCCTGGCACTTGCCCATTACGTGAGGTCATCCCAGCCGAGCCTAAGACTTTTTCAGAGTTTCCTATGTTGGCATCAGATGATTGGCAGACAAGAACACGTGGCAGATTTGTACTGCCTCACAAAACAGAGGAGCACTGAGAGAGTTGCACAGTATCATTATCTCAGTTTTACTGAGAGGAAGAGTGATTATTTACTTATTACTAAGCATGTATTTTTGTGTACTTTTGGGTGTAAGCAAGAGTCGTCTTTGACTCAAGGGATGACTTTTCCTCTGATACATGGAGTTCCCCTCTAGTCCAGGAATTTCTTTCATCTCAGCTGGTCCTGCAGTCACTTTCTTCAGAAAAGCAAATAATCTCTTTTTTCTCATAAGTCCAAATGTCCTAAATCCCCAATTCTATTCCATGTTTGTGTTTTTCACAAGCTAGATGAACACATATGATGAGATCAGATCGCTGTTATCATGTCATATATTTGACCCGATGCTGTCTATAGTCAGTGAAAAGAGACAGGCAACCATCAAGATTTAATGACTCTTTTGTTACTGATCAAGAAATAACTGGCAGCAAATAGTGGACCTCACGCAGCCTGAGGTACTTACGACACTTCAAAATTTATAAAGTCTCACTTCTCAAACCATTGCTCAAATGCCACTAAAAGGAAGCTCTTGCCTTGAGGTCTAGACTAATTCCATGAGATCTCCCCTGCTGTGGCATTTGTTTTGGGGTGTTAGGATGTAAGAGTTTCTAGAAAATGGGATGGTTTAGGCAGTTGGCCTTCCAATCTAAGGCTGTGCATCACTACTGTTCGTTGAGCTTCAAAGTCAGCAGGTTGATGAAACTATTTCACATGAAAGAAAAAACAAAAAAAGGTAAATTTTCTTTTTTTCTCATTGGGTCAGTTCCCCATTCTTGTTCACTTGTGCGTGACTGCTCAGCTTACTGTGTCAGCATAAGAGCAGAGCGAGTAGAGGTATTAATGACTGAAACAGGGAAACATCAAAAGCTGTTTAACCAGCATGTAGAATCACATGTAGTGTATGTAAAACCACGACCACACTTTGATCAGGTTCCACAGACATGATAACTCCTTCAGACCTCCACCTCAGTGATTTTGATTGTAAGAGCCTAAACCAGTTTTTCAAGGGTTTGTGGGAAGCAACCTTGTAATTTTGTAGGAACGATACCTGTTCATGCTGAACTGCAGAAGAGTAGTTTGGCTGCATGATACTAAACCTGCCTTCCCCACACACAGGGGAATAATTGAATATAAGAAGAAAAACAGTTTAGTACTCTGTTTTGGTTTTGTTATCATGTAAACATGTATTTAACTGACTAAAATATGCTTTCTCATAATATTCATCCCACAGGTCAGTTGCTTCGTCTGAAAATGTTTCGAGAGGACCATGGGTCTTGGATGACAATGTTCTTCAGTACCATCCTCTTCCTCTTCATTTTTTCTCACATTTATAATCTGTTCCTCATTATGGCAGGGAATATGAGGTAGGTTACAGAGCTTATTTTTGTCTCTTTTGCTCTAGAATATATTCTACTGGAAACTTTTTGTGTTATGCTGCTTTACAGTGAACAAGAGCTTACCAAGATGTAAACATACTAGTATTCACAATCTTTTTTTATTCCTCTGCTTTCTGAATTTAGGTAGCATAGTAATTTAATTGGTTAGCCAAAAGGATTAAAGTATCAGTTATAAAAAGTGGGGTCCTAGACTAATGATAGAAACTATTACATCAGGGTACTAATGAACATTATATATATATATATATATATATTTTTAAATTTACAATTATAGCTCAACACATTTGATTTGAAATTATGGGTGAGTAATTTCAAAGTATAAACATTACTGTTGTGCATACTCAGGAAAATTAGACTTAAAGTCGAAAGAAATTGAAACATTCAAACTTGAGGAAACTCGCACTCTGAACACAGACATTGAATAATTTGGGTGTGTACAATAATATTTGCTGATCCAGTTTGTTAAAAATATTCTTAAAAATCTATTTATTTTTTCATAAGGTCCTCTGTCAGGGTGAAGTTATGGTTGGCTGAGAGATGAACAGCTATCTTTTTATTATGGTTGGATTTATTTTAAATGAAACTTTTAATACTAATTTTCTGGTTTAAGACTTGCTTCCTCCTGTATCTCAAAATTAACACCACATTCATGTGTTGATTTTCCTGTGAAAATCTACATTATTAGTCATCTAATACATACAAAATGAGTTTATTGGACAGAAATACACAGTCCTGTTATTTATGAAAGGCAAGATAGCATTTGAAGAGTTTCTAGCAGAGAATAAGAAATGCAGTGTATATATGAGTTGAAGAATAGTGAAAATAATCAAATTACTTGCTCTTAGCAGAATATCAGAGCTATACTGACAGAGTCTGATGAAGAATTATGTTACAGACCTTAAATCTGTCAATAAAAATGCATGGTGTATAAAGTCCCGTTACCGGTGTGACATAAAACACAAGGTGAGTAGAAGGCAGACTGGTTGTCACTGAACAAATGTAAACACAGACCAGCTTGGCTGATTATGAGACATGTCATGAACACTAAATGTATTGATTTGAGCAAGGTGCATAAAGCATCAGAATCACCGAGTATTCTAGGAAACGATCATGGTGATGATGTGGTAGATAAGAATAGGTGCCCAATAAGAGGCAGAATAATCATCCCTGAAATGAAGGTGGGAGTATTGCAGGTTTCTGGCTTCCCTATTTACATAGTCATAATAGTATAGTTATTACATTGAGATTTATATTTGGTATTTCTAATGCTCCATAAACCATAACTAGATGTTAAGACAAAGCATTAACAATTTTGAAAGCTTGACTCATGTCTGGAAATCAGAATTCATTTGTCCTTGTCAACATTCTTGCTTCCTGTGTCTGTTAGAATCTTCCATTAGCTTCACTGAAGAGTTTTGCTTTCTGCAGGGTGCTTATGCCCCAGCCCTAGATTTGTTGCGATTGCTTTGAGAAGCTGCCCATGCAGTGCTCAAGGAATCATACTGCCTTTTTCAAAGTGGACTGAAGGCTTGTTACAGGCCGTTTGGGTGTCCATTCTGGCAAAAAGGCGGCAAGTGGATATGGAACAGTTTCAGTGTCAAACTACGCAATGTAAAACATCAGTCAAACAGAGCCTTTGTAGCTGTCCTCTCAAAGTTCAGGTAGAACAATGTGTAGTACTTTCATAGAGTTCCTACAACCAATATCATCAAAGCCAACTATTTCACGTTGCCAGAATAAAGTGTTTCAGGGAGTGGATTATTCTTTTCCTGAGTTAATGTAATCCTTATGAAAGCTGTTTGCTTCATGGTTTGTACTTCTGTGCAAAAGAACAGCGCTATCTATGCCTTTTGCCACAGTGCCTTACTGAAATGACTGACACCAGAGAGACTGACTTCCAGGATAAAGGTCAGAGTCTGCCTGTATTGAGGTTATAGTCTTTATAGAGACAGGCTGACCTTTGTGCCTATGGACTCGTATGAAACACAAGCATCCAGAATACACGTCTTTTCAGTACAAGGGCTACAAAAGCCTTACAATTACTGCCTACAAGACTGAGTGCAAAACTCTTTTTTTTTGGCCTGTGTTTGCTCCTTGCCCTGTCTCTGTTTCAGCTTGCCCTGTGTGCTGGCAGGAGAGTGATTCTGACAAGTTTCTTTATGTCAGATGTTTGGTCTCATCGATGACAATCCCTTTGTGGCTCATGAGTAGGAGAATCATATGTCTTGCCTGTGCATGCCAGTGTGGATGATCACAGCAGAAGCAATATCCTGTTGAGTGCTAAAGAAACGTGTGCCAGGAGTGCTTTAAAGTTCTGTCATGTTGCCATCTCTGAGAAGGTATATTTTACCATTGCCAAGATTTGGGTTTTTTTGAAGTGTTTTTAAGACACTTAGTGTGGCAAACCTAAAAAGTGTGAATGTGTCCCTTAAAAAAGGGTAGTGGTAGGGACTAAAGTTTGTTGCGAAGAGCAAAAGCTGAACAAGTTGCTGGTATTTTAACATGTATTATACAGCTGTTTGCTGGATAAAGGTGTGACTATTTGAACGGAAAGCTTTGTAACAGATTGGAATGTATCTTTTTTTAAGTCCCTCTTCTTTTATCAGTGACATTTCCTTTTAGGGACCTCACAGGTTATGGCACTGACCCACTGTACATTAGGTCATTGCTCTTGTAGTCAGAGCTGAACATCAGTTGAGGAAACATGTCTGAAAATTTGTTGGAGAGTGGTCTGCAGCTAATATTTCTTACTGCTTCTCATCCCTGAAAACAGTAAGCAGAAGCCAGGCTGGGCACAGGGCCCAAATCAGGTCCAGTTTGTGTAAATATCTGAAGGCACAGCAGGGTTTGAGGCACAGGCATCAGGAGTAAGGTATTTGGTCTAGCTGGTCCTTCTAGCTGGTCCTTCTCTGCAAGAAAGATGTGGAATAGAGAGGATAAATGTGAAAATGATCGAGAGATGGGAAATGTTCAGCCGTTATTCAGATTTAGGTTTAGAGACCTGGGGAGTGTAGCAGGATGAGTCAGTCAGAACAGACGAACAGCCGTTAGAGAGCAGGGCTGGTAAAGGCTGCTGTGAGAGTAGTGCAGAAAATGCTGTTCCAGCAAAAGTCAGAGTAACCTTAAAAACTGCTTTATGCTTTAATAAGGAGAGATTTCTTTCAAATAGTTTTAAACCTTGCAGAACAGTAAAACCAATTGTAGAGGATCAGAAAAAATATTATCTTGTGTGATGCCAGGGGCTGAACTGAACTGCGTAGTGGGAATGAGGCCTTTGAATTTCTTCTGTAATTCGGAATTTTAAGTTTTTGAAGTAGCAAGGAGGGCACTGCCAGTTACATTTGCTGATTACATCTTCTCAATGGGTGTGTGTCTATGTCAGCCCGTGATATGGTGCCTTGTGAGAGGGACTCTTACACAACACATTGTGACATATGTTGGCCCAGCGGTCTGCTCTTCATGCTATGAGTCTTGTGGTGGTTTTGTGCACATGAACAGAAGTAGAATGTCTGTCACGTTGCAGTCCATCACACATATACAATGGTCCATCACACATGTACACAATGGTCCTCTGCACAGCGAGCCCAGGCAGCCTTGGAAAGAGGCTAGCTGCCATCTAAAGTGGCCCTCTGTGTCAAATCTGTCACTGTCACTGCCTGCCTCAAACTATTCTTTGCCGTCACATGTCTGAAGAAAATCCCTCCTTCCTTTATACATCTTGCAACAGCTGTGGGAGCCTGTTTGGAGGTCTTAATACATACTCAGCGCTATTTCCATCAACACAGGCCTGCATATAGTGAATATCGGGTTTTGTCTATGATTATAGACAATAAGAAGATAGTGGCTGCTCTCTTGTAGTACTTCTGCTTCGCTGGTTTTGCTTCTTCAGAAGTGTCTGTCAATTCCTGACACTTTATTGTAACATTTTCTTTGATCAGTGCGCTGAGGTGGGAAAAACAGTTTGCTTTTGGAATCTGAACCAGAGCATTGCCGGTAGTCACTGGGTGAGGCTGAGGGGTGTGAAGTGGTGGCAGCACACTGTGATCACAAGTGACGACAAACCATGGCTGCACAATTTTTGGGCACCGCCCAGTCACAGTTGGGGCTATGAACGCACTGCAAGGTGGCCGGGTGGCCATCTATTTGTCTGTCCATCTGGGGAGGTCACTGCACAGCCCCTCTGCAGACATTATACACCATTGGCCATGTCTGGAGTACTCACACCCACTCTTGAACAGTGTGGTCCTGTTCATCCAGTCCTGAGCAGGACATCGTTCTCCAACTACCTTGATGGTCTTTGAAGACATGACTTGGGTCCATTAAGTGCTTATAAAATACCTTGTGCTGGACATTATTTATCATGCACAGTTAGTTATAAGACAAGACCAATAACATTGGCTAAGGCCAAGGTTTCTGTTAGAAGCAGTAAAATTTAATAAGCTGGAGTGCTGTTGAACATTTGCAGCAAACTCAAACCTAGTATGTGTGAAAGTAGCTCACAGCCCAGTGGACCAAAGTAAAGCTCTCAGAGGATTAAAAAACCAAATTGTTTTTGCAGAGGGAAATTCTAGAAGGCAAGGATCAACATTGCCTAGCTTGAAGTATTACTTAAAACAATTTAAAACCAGGAATTCATGTAATGAATGGTAACAAGAACAACATGAAAATAACATAGAATTTTATGACAATGTTTTATGGTATTACATGGTAAAAAAACAAAAAAAAAAAAAAAAAGGACAAACCGCATCAGAATCCTCCTCTGTCTGCTCCTTGGAGGAAACTGGAGAGGTGTTGGGCTATTGAATTCTTAGGGCTTTCCTGGTGATTCCCAATTGACAGCATGCATATCTAGTTAGGTGCCAAGCTCCACTGTAATATCTTACCTGAAGACCTGCCCTACGTCACTGTAACAGATACTCTGTGCTACCTTGCCAGAGATCTGATTTCTGCCCTTGTCTTTGGACTCA